CACCTTCCAACTCTGTTCTCCCTACAAGAAGCATTCCTCCTCCTCCTCCTTTCTTCAGTGATTATTGTTCAGTCTTGTAACTGTGAACGCCTCTCACACCTGACATGAATCTGTCAGCACCGCAAATTCTCATTCCGGAAGACAAGCCCTTCACCACCGCCGCGATTCCCCAAAGTTCAGGCTGCTTCCCCCGCAATCAGTCACAGGCGACTACGAGTGAAGGAACTCTGGCCGAGGGCAGAAGAACAGTGGCGGCGGAAGTGACAGGGTCTGCCGTGATCTGGGCCAAGTGGTGATTATTATTGACCCTCGGTTCTCTGGATCAACCAAATTCTCCACCTCTGGCCTACGCATGTCGCGCTCCCACCACCAGCCATCTCGGTATGTAGTAGTAGTCCACCTGCTCCTACTTCCGACCTCGCCGACATCTCAAAAACCCCCAGGGAACCTTGTGCCAAAGACTCCATACTATGTGCCGACATTCACCCGTGGATTCTGCTTTGCTCAACACCGAGACTGGAAGATAGGAATTTATTCTCAATGGCTTCCATCTCTCCGCAAGGCCCTTACTCGTCATCCCAGTCGCAGGATGCGAGTAACGCCTATAAATACGAAGATCCCACCGCATACCAGATCCCCTCGGGGTACCCAACAAACCAATTCGAAGTCCCTCTCCCTGTAGCGCGATCTGAACCAGAACCGCAACCCAGAGAAACCTCGAAACCACAGTCGTCAGGTTCTTCAGAACCCAAAGTCCGTCTCAGGAAGGCCTGTGATAGTTGCAGTGTGCGCAAGGTCAAGGTACGTCTGCGCCAATACCCTCTTTCCTCCCAGCCTTCATAGGTCACGCGCTGATGAATACCCTAAGTGCGACGAAACTGGTCCTCCTTGCAAATCATGCGCCGCTCTCGACATTCCCTGCACCTTCGACCGGCCGAGTCGACGGCGTGGCCCGCCCAACAGACACGCCGAAGCCATCAAGAGACAGAAACTCGAGGGTGCTAACTTTGACGGTTCAAGAAGCTCTCCAACTCATGATGCCGCCTACAGCCTGGCTGCCCTCGCCGCGCCGACTCCGCTGTCCGCCGAGTCAATATGTGACCTACCGACCTTGAAGATCCTTTTGGACGATTATTTTACTTATATCCATCCACTGATACCTCTCCCACACGAACCCACATTCCGACGATCATTTGAAGCCAGGGAGGACAGAACAAATCACAACTTCCTGGCACTCATTGCTGCCATGGTTGAATGCCTTGTGGCTAGTTTTCCAAGACGACCCCGACAACTCTTTGTCACAGAGCCAGGAAAGTCGCAATTCCCAAACGCAGGAAGTCTGATCGATCGGTGTCATCAAGTCTTCGTCGAAGCTCGCGGCCTCGGGTATATGGATCGCCCGATGAACCTGTACGACGCGATTGCGAGCTATCTAACAGGGTTGGCCGCTGGTTATGTCCTAGATATCGCACGCATGCGACTCTATCTCGGCGAATGCACCATAATCATGCGGGAGTTGCAGTTCCATCGGCCAGAAATTCATAGGCCAGGTGCAACACCGGCAGCAGCGTATGGCCCTGCCGACATGCCTAGGACCCCACTTGTTGACTACATTTATCAGGAGTCCGGTCGGCGGCTGTTCTGGCTGTTGTTTGTGGGCGCAATGTCTGCTCGACAACTTGACGAGGCCGAGGGTGACTTGCTCATGCCTCCTGTGTCCCATGCGGAGATGCTTCCACCACTCCCGGTTGAGGTAGATGACGAGTACATTACTGAAACGCAGATATTTCCGCAACCCCGAGGGGTCGTGTCTGAAATGGTCGGCTTCAACCTCAACGTCAAAGTTTTCCGAGCCTTTCACTTTCTGGCTGCCCTGGAAATGGCATTTGGAGCAAACAACATCTATGATTGGGATCGTCAACGGCAAATCATTCGCCGCGCTCTTCAACATGTCAAGGATGCTACGCGAGATGCACCGAAGGAATTGCAGCTCAACCCGGCCAATGGTTTCGGTGAGTGGCCTCCTACCCAAGCCGATATATCAGCATATTCCCACCTTTTCAATGATCGCGAGGAAGGCGAGGCCGATCTGCACACGACGCCAGTGAGTGCCCGTGCGTCTTTTTCCATGCCATCCAAGAGAGCAATTCAGTTTGAGATCCAGAAAGCCAATGTATACGCCACGCAGCTATCGTCGAGATCATATCTAGTGGAGAGATTTTGGAACCTCTACGAGATAGTGGACCGCGATAAATCGACGTTTCCGTCAGACAAGTCAGTCGCAAGCTCGTCCCCCACGGCAGGGATCGTGACGACCGGCATGGAACACAGCTATCGACAGATTGTAGGTCGCACACCTAGTGACAGCATGATGGATACAGGAGAACAGATGATGGCTGTCGAACGAGAAGACATTGTAAGGGACATGGCTCTACTTCTTAAGAGCATCAACCAGGTGAACATGGAGCCCAACGGAATGAGCTTTGTAAGTCATCGGTTTCCTTCCCTGCAGGAATTCTACTGACTGGAAATAGTGCAACAAGATCCGGACCGTCGCATCGACTCTACTCGAGACTAAACGCGCCAGAATGAGCGTCATGCCCACACTCGACTCTGAGAGCGTGAATGCTTATCTTCACGTATTTCTTGACATCCTCTCCAAATTGGAACGCTTAGGTCCTGGCCGATTCAGGGGTGTCGCGGATGCAAACGCTGGCATATTACGGACACCCGAGGAGATTGAAGACGAGGAGCTGGTTCACTGGGCCAGTCTGAAGGAACACCAGGAGAGGTTTGTCCGGACAAATGGCTTCTGGTGACCATGTTTGAGGACCGACTTTTGTCCATCCTGTAATGATTGATGACATTCAATGAGGGTTGTCTTGACGATATAGCTGGGACTAATGCGGCTGGAGAATAGCGTCCCAGCTATTCACGTCGATGGACGAAAAGTGAGCTTCGACCAAGGCTTGATCACCTTTTTGGTGCTGGCGGGATATGGCATGGCCTGTGAGTGAGGCAGACAACGGACTGTTGTCGCACTGTATGGATGTTCTTACCGTCATAAATTGGCTTCTGGCGATCACCAGCATAAATGGACATCTTCTCCTCAAGAGCTACAAGCAGACATAATTGATACGGTCTAAAAAGATATTGCGCATGGACCCTTGACCCCTTGCTTCACTTTATACGAGATACGAAGTGCATTGGTACAATGTGTCACGTGGATGAGCCAGTAGTTGTCCACGTGCCTTCGCGTCGTAGGATCTCGCCAAACTTTCTGGATGCTGCCTGGGTGGAGAGAATGCTTGAACGTCATCTTGGGTTGCCCTCTTGTGCTCCTCGTGAAGAATGCCGTAGAGCTCAATTGCAATACTTCAATCCCAATGGGAGACAATGATCATGGCAACTTTGATGCTTTCAGAGACTGTCTGTTCTCACATGTGGTGGACAAGCTAACTGATGGAACCAGCAAAGCCCCCACACGTCCCTCCATAGGCAAGAAAGCCCGACAGAACCAGCCGGAACCACCGAAGCCTGATCCCTCTGAGCTGGCCGACTTCTCAGATTATCTGGCCGCTGATATCTTCGAGAGTTTGCCGGAGCCATTCCGGAAACTCTCCTATCATGCGCTTCAGAATGACGATGTGCACGCAGACAAATGGTCCCTTCCGTTGACCATGACCGTCCTTGAAGAGCTCTGTGCTCATCTTCCAGGAGACATCAGCGACAGTCTCGTGGCATACGGGCTGATCAGACCACCCACGACCGACATCCAGTCGTTCATGGCTCCGGTGTTTTCTGGCTACATTTCTGCGGTAACAACGCCGCCGCCAAAATGGTCAGAAACGAGGACAAGGTTTTGCGAGATTTGCGAGAGAGACTGGGTTCCATTGACCTACCATCATCTGATACCAAAGCAAATCCATGCCAAAGTACTCAAGAGAAATTGGCATGAGGAACGACTGTTGAACAGCGTGGCATGGCTGTGTCGAGCCTGCCACAACTTCGTCCATCAGATGGCCTCCAACGAAGAGCTTGCCCGAGAATGGTATACTGTTGAACTCATATGTCAGAGAGACGATGTCCAGAAGTGGGCCCAATGGGTCCGACGTGTCCGCTGGAAGAAGACTTGAGAATTGTGCCTGAAACGCTTGGAGCATGGGCCGCTTAGCAATAAGACTGTCGACCAGTAGTCGAGCTGCTTGATAAGATGTGTCCTGTCGTCACTCCTGGTTCTGTTGCTATCTCTTGAACCATTCAACTCACCAGCTTCCCAGATCCCTAATGCAATAGTTGAAGAGTATAGGAGGTGCAAATATGCACGGCTGTCTCGCGTATAGGACCTATACTTGGTCTTGGGATATTCCACTGCCGGGATGGCTGCTCAATGCATTCGACGCCGCTTCGCGCATGTGTCGATCCGATCAGCTAGAAACGTCTCACCTCATCGCCGTCAAGGATTGAACGCTCCCCAGTATGTGACTGCCGCAGTGGTCCAGCGCTCCCCCTTTCTTTCGCCGAGCACAAAAACTTTTGATCAGTCCCTGCGCACTTGGAAAACTTGATCATCCACACTCACGCCTTCCAGGACCAAGCTCACCACATCCGCTTCTTGTTGATCAGCTCTTTTCTTTATCCAAGCTTCGACTCTATTGTTCACATCGTGGGACGACATCTGCCCAGACTTGTACAACGTCTTGTTCTCATACAAAGTCAGTCGACGACAGAGTCAGTGTTGGCGTGCACGCTTTGCAGGGTCTTACCCTGCTATTCCTTACCGAGCATTGCAACCCTCTGCAACATCCCGGCAACAGCAAAGCGACCCTTCTCCTTTCCAGGTGGCCTCGCTTCTGAAAGTTGAGGTAGACCTCCACGACACAGCTCAGCAAAAGACCAAGTCCATACACTGAACAGTGAGACAAATCACGGGTTTCTTGAAATTCAGCTCGGCCATAAACTTCACGAACTTCACATTCACACACTTCACCGTCGACAGAATGGCGCAGAATAACAACGATGGACACAACCACCGCCAAGCGCAGGATTGTACCGCACCACCACATTCACCACAACCCAGCCAAGATGAGATTTTACCTCCTCTGCCGGGCTCCATGTTTCTCTCGCCACTCGATATCTTTCTTCTCTCTCAACTCGACGATCCTTCTTCCTCTTCAACAAACCACATCAGCAATAATCCGGAGGATCACCCGGATTTTATTGGACCGAGAAATTCGGTCTATCCTCCACTTGAACCTTTTGAACCGTACCCTCCCCAACATCATCAGCCCGAGTCTTTTGACTTGGGCAATTTCCCCGATCCTCAACTTGGATCGCCTGGAATGACAGGCACCATGGAGGAGAATGACCCTGAAGTAGGTGCCCGTCTCAACCCACATCATAGCAATATCACTGACGGAGATCAGGTGCAGGTCGAAACAGACTCGGGCGATACCGAGATGGTGGACGCCACCTCGGCTGGTGACGTTGCCGATGGCAACGGCAACGACGCCGAAGAGGTGGTGCCAACCATTCTCGTTGGAAAGGACGGCCCGAACGTCACCATTTGGTCGACGTTCACCGGTGGCCAGGTGACAGGGTTTGGCCGGTACGAGCACGGGCTGCGGAGGCCCTGGAGCTGCCTCATGTGCGACAACTTTGTCGCCATGGAGAAAGGCAAGCTCCAGGCCCATCTCCGCGAGCGCCACGGCTTGACCGGCCTAAGGGTCATGAAAGTTGAGAATGAAAATTTCTCAAACTTTCAGGGCCACGACGACCAGGATTGCTTCGTGTGGGGGGAGTACGTGAGAGGCGACCCTCTCCCGTGGAAGTGCCTTTTGTGCACAGACCACAAGGGCATCAAGTCCGGGAAAGGGGCGTTCCCACGTCACTTCCAAAAGACCCACGGCATCCGGGTCGTCTTACCGCCAGTCACCCCCGAGGAGTTGAGACGGCACAACGACAAGAGGGCCGCTGCCGCTGCCGCTGCCAGCCCGTAAGGGGGAAGCACGGTAGTTGGTACGCGCGTGACCCTAGTCGTCAGGGTCGGGAGGAGGCAGGGATGGAGGCAGGGAG